ATTGTATTTTTTCCGTACTTGAAACTATAACTGTAGTGTGTGCGTGTTTTTTTTTCTTATTATTATGTTGCAGCAATTTGTTTATTGCGGTTATCGCAACGGCTTCGTTAAATTTGATTTACGGTTGTTGCCGTGGGTACGTGTTTTTTTTTTCTTTTTTTTGTTTTATGTTTTTCTTGCGTCCCTCCACTTCGTCTGTATGTCTCTTTTTCTTTCCAGTTTCTTCGTGACTGCGGCGTGCGGAGGTGACGTCGCGGCGATTTTTGTCTCGGAGGCGCATTAGCACTCGGTGGGGAGCAGAGTCGGGGAGCCTCCCGCCTCGGCACCCGTTCCCCACGGACCCGCACGCGGGAGCGGCTCGAAGGCGGCGAGGCGTGGGGCTAAAATGTCATCAAGGCGGGGGGATGATGTTGCACCGTCGCGAACGCACGAGAGCTCCCATGACCCTGCAGCGATGCTCTGTGCGTTTCTCATGGCGAGGCGCGGTTGGAGTCTGTCCCGCATCGCTCTTACGTTAGGGATTCCACCTCTTGTGCTGGAGGAATGCATCCGCAACGGCGTTTCCTCAGCAGCACTGCGCTCGCAGCTTGCCCTCTGGATTGCGGAGAACGACGATGCATCGGTGCCATCATCTCTTGCGCAGGAGGTTGTTGAGGCGGCCTCATCGTCGTCTGCTGGGGCGTTGGAATATCTGCAGGACGATGATCCTTTTTCCGCTCTTGACCCTGTCACACAGTCGTACTTTGTCGAACTGGGATCGAGCGTGGGCCAGAGCTTCATTTCCATTTTGAATGACCCCCACGATGTGGCGGAAACCGCCTCTACGTGGGGCTCGTGGCTCGGAGGCGTCGTGTCGGGTGCTTTAGACCTCAAGGCCCAGGCGAAACGGGCGGAGGCGGCCGTGAGTCTGGGGCCGTCGTCGTCGTCATCATCATCTTCTGAGACGCTGCTCGCACGCTACGGCTTGCAAGAAGACTACTCTTCCTACTTGCAGCTTGTTACTGCTCCGTACAATAGTAATCGGGAAGAAGGTCGGCAGGCGCCGGTGATGGTGGACACAAATGCGGGGCCCGGTACTGCTAATAATTCCCTCTCTGTGGAACAGCTTCCGTGGCCAAGCGGCGTTCCAAAAGAGTTTTTTGGCTCTGCCCATGATCCGACTGGTGAGATTTGCTTGCTAGAGCGCAACCTGCGGGAGCGCAGGGGAGAGGCTGCAGTCGAGGGAGAGCGCAACGTTTCTGTTACTGCGCAAACATTTGGGGAGGATTTTGAGTTGATGGAGGCTCGAATGAAGACGCTTCGTCAATGGGAAAGTGCCGTGGAAGGATGTCTTCTTCAACATGTCCAAAGTCGCTCAGAGCAGTTTTTTTTGGCCTCCCACGAGTTTAGGGACCGGGCTGCGGAGGCGAGGGAGACCCTTGAAAGCCTCCGGCAAACACGGGCGGGCATTGGAGCATTTGGTAAGGGATTGGTTCAGGAAATGCTTATGGTTGCACGGTGCTATCGAAGCAGAAACAACCTTGGCTCCTTGTGTAAGCTGGCGGAAATGGTAGTGAAGGTCTCTTCTCAAATGATAGCCATTGAAAATTGGGTGGCACTTCCTGAACGGGACATGGTGGAACTGCCAGTCATTGTTGACGTCTTCTGCACGTTGCAGGAAGCGATTTTAACGGAACATGAGACGGGAACTTCGTCTAGCGGTGTTGGTGCCCTTGAGGCGAGGTGGATCACAAAAGTGTCCGCACTAAAGGCTGTTCCACGTCGCGTGCTGCAGGTGAAGGAGAAACTCTGCGTGATCATTGTGGAGGAGTTGGAGGCGCTTCTTCTTCCGGCGCCGCGCGGGGCTGTGGACGATGGCCAGATCCACAGGACGTTTCTTTCCGCGAGTAAGATGGGAATATGGCACACCGCCGTACGTCAGTGCAGGGATGTCCTTATGGATGCCCTGTGGATGACTGCCCGCGAAGCCTTTATCGCCTTTATGATCAATAACTGCGAACCCAGTGATTCCACCGCCAATAATCTTCTTTCCACTGCCGTTTCCGCGGATGCCTCCCGCGAAGAGAAATTGACCCTTTTCGAGCATTCCAACGCCTGTCGTTTTGCTATGTACATGCAAATAATAGGCCTCATTTCTGATCACGTTATTGACTTTGTCACCCAGGCTGGCCAGAGATGGGGGCTTTTCCTTGTGGAGGTTGTTCCCGCGTCATCCGCGGCAAATGCTGAAGGAGTGAGTGTAGAAGACACGCGAAACTACTTCTCGTCATTGTGTGCGGCTGCCGAGAGTATCGTCGCTCTTCTGATAGAGGTTCGAAGTCAAGACGGTAAAACGCCGACAAATGCTCGTGATATTGAGGCGCTTGTTTCTTTGGGTTGCGCTTTTCTACCCAACATAGTGAGTAACCTACAGGGAGTTTTGGCGATCTGCGGCAACGTTGGTGACCCATGGGGGTTCGTGTCTGGAAAGCGGATTAAGTCTGCTGTGACGCGGCTGGCGAAGGGGCATCTCCGCGTGCACCACGTGGAGAGTATCGAGAAGTTGCGTGTGACGATTGAGAATGAGACGTGGCTTCCGGAAGGCGTCGACCCCACCTTTCAAACCTCCGTGGATGCCCTTTGCCGAAGTGATGATGCCGCTATTGCGGAGCTTCGTACACGCGCCGTGTTCACTGAAGTTGTGGGCGAGAGTGGGGTTCGCCACCCCGTGGCGCCCACATTCGCGAGAGAAGCAGCAACTACAGCAGCAGCAGCGACGGGGGAGATGGTCGCATCAGGGCCGTCCAGATCGTCTTCCAAGCCCTTGGAGGCTCGTGAAACGTGTGCAAAGAAGCTGCTTCTGCTTCCAACGGTGGATGCTTGTACGGAGGGTCGGGTGGTGAGTAGATCGCTTTTGATGCTGATTGAATTGTTACACGAGTATGACGACTACCTGGGTCGTTTTCCCTTTCTTGCCTTTGATGTGATGGGGAAAATGTATGACCTTCTCACGCTCTACGACTCGCAGTCGGCGGCCTTCCTACTGGGCGCCATGGCTGTGGAAAATGGTGTGCTACAGACAATAACAACGCAAAACATGGCTGTCGCGTCACAGAATCTGGCCTTTTTGTGTGACAGCATCCCACTTATGCAGAAGCGTTGGCTTCGTGCGGCAACTGTCGACAAGTTGTCGCCGTCTATCGTTGAAGACATAGAGCGAGTTCGCAAGGACTGTACGACGCACCGGTGCGAACTTTTTGGAAAGATATCGGACGTAGTCAAGGACAAGGTTGATGGTCTCGGGGCCGTCTCCGCGGAGCAGTGGAAAATGTCTGGAAATGAGTGGGTAATGACGATGCTCCGAGAGACAGCGCGGTTAATGCGGGCCATGAAGCCGCTTTTGCCTTCTGAGGATTGTCGCGGGGTTGTAGTGCCGCTGCTCGGCACCTTTGCTCGAATGATTCGTTCTGTTACGATGTCTCCAGCCGTGGATACAGACCTGCGAGCAGTGATGCTATCGGACGTTCTTCTTTTCAAGGCAAATGTGGAGAGGTTTGGCTTTGATGTTTTGCGGTGTGCAATGCTATTTGACTCGGTGGCGGCGGCGATGAGGGCACCCGTTGAGCCCGCCGCATCAGAGGCGGATGTCGTCGCCTGGTTTTTCAGCGATGAACGAGGACCGTGAAAGGTGCCTCTGTCAGTGGGGTGCGCAGGGAAGGGGAAGGGACAAAGTTTTTTTTTATATTTATTTTTTTGTTTTCTTTGTTACGAGCCCCCCCCCCCCCCCATCTACATGAGGCGTGGCGTTGCACGAACCTTCTTCGTTGTTGTTGTCTGTGATGTCTTATTTGTTCGTTTATTTGTTTTTGCTCCTTTACTTGTATTCTGCCTGGTGTTTCCTGTTCCCTTGTGAGGGTGGCAGCAGCGAGGGATGCGTGGCGGCCGCTGCCGCCGCACAATTCCCCGTTTCCAGCTGGGGCGTCGCCACGCGGCCACGTCCTCTGGCGGGACGCGTGACCGCGCCGGACCGCAGGGGTCGAGCAGCGAACTGAACACTCTTCTTAGGGAGATCAATGACTTGTGGGCGCGGCGTGGTGTTGGGGGGCATACGCTTTCTGTTTCCGCATCGAAGTTGCAACCGGCATCGGCATCGGCCGTGGCAGAAGGGAGTTATATTCCACCACATGAGAGCCCCACCTTCCCGGCAACAGGCACGCATCCACCACTGGGCTCTCTGGCAATAGGAGAGCCACCAGCATTCACGGACATCGCCTGCACTTTGCAGGAACTAGAGGAGGAGCTGTTTAAGCTGTCGGAAAATGAGCCAGCGGTGAGTGTGCCTCGGAACAGTGCAGACACTGACCGACGGCAGGCAGCGGATGCGTCTGACGACCGCGACACGAATGCTGCTCCCTCAGTGGGGTGTTCTCAGGACCCACAGCCTGAGACGACGGGTGTTGCGGCAATGGAATCCCCCGCTGGATCTGCTGCGTCTGAGGCCGTCCGTCACTATGAGCGGCTCTCTTGTTGGACGGATGCTGGGGAAGCTCCGGCCTCAAATAACTCCGTTACAGTGCACGTTTCGGAATCTGCTGGTCGTACGTTTACTTTGGAGCTTCGTGAGCGACCGAGGTGCGCACGCGCCATGACGGTTGCGGTCGGCCAGGCCTTGAATGAAGTGGAAGCTGCGACGGAACTAAATGAGGGCCTTGTTGTTGTATTCCGGTCAGCGCCCGGTATCCCTTTCTTTACCCCGCTGCGCTCAGAACTAGAACTGGGCTATTTGACTCGTGCAGAGTTGCTAAGAGAAAAGGAAAGACTCTTTTGCCGTATTCGAGAGGCCAGACTTCGTGGGGTGTCGTTTAGGGCAGAATTGAATGGATCTGCACTTGATATTGGAGCAGAGTTGTTTTTCATGTGTGATGGAGGGACCGTATCGGAGTCGGAAGTCTCTACTAGTGCAACAACGGTTGGATTTCCTTCACTCAGCCTTGGAGTCTGGCCGGCGCCGTGCGTGCTACAGCGCATATCCAGTCGCCTGAGCCACGACGAGAGGGTTGGGCTGGTGGTTCCCATCCTGCACACTCTTTCATGGAGTGATTTGAAGGCGACTTATCCAGGCCTTCTACGGCCTGAGCGTAGCTTGCACAGGTTGAGGAAAAAGATGCATCTGCTTTTCTTCTTGCAATGGACTCGTCTTTGGTATTTGCTTGGATGGGGCAAGGAGTTCTCTGCTACAGGGAACCGCAGGGATGTTTTGATGCGGCGCTGGGACGATTACTCTGCCTTGTTGGATACCACTAAGGGCGCGGGTGACGCAGATGCTGCTCTTTCGGCCGCCTCCCGAGCTGTCAACATGTACGTGGCACTCCTGGGAACAACTGAGTTTACCAACGCCGCTTCAGTGACTAGGGCGCTTCGTCGTATGCACAATCGCGTTTTAACTCCACGCATGCAGAGAAGCATCATCGAAGCGCAGCCAACTAATATGCGCGACATCAAGGCGGGAGAGACATTTTGTGTCTTTACCGAGGCTTCTTCGCCTGCAACAGTTCGTTTTATTGCGGAGCATCGCAGTCACAGTGGAAAAGACGTAGTCAAAGATGCTTTGCTGATGGCACGTGACGCGGAGGACGTCAAGGATGCAGTCGATTTGTTGGACTGCGCTGCGGTTGTTACTCCTCTTCGTCCGTCGCAATTGCGCTCGCTGGGCGAAGGCGATATGGTGGAGGTTCGGCTTCTCTGCGCCCCACATATTGGCGGAAGTCGGCGGCGGGAGACACTCTCCTCTGCCTTGGCGTATCTGCAGTCCAGGGAGGTGCCGTACGTCGTCAGCAAGGGGGATGCTGGTGGTCGCCTTGCGGCAGCCCTTTTTGTCGCGTTGTGCAGACTGGCCACATCTGCAGAGGTGCAGCTCATTGAGGACGTCGCAACGGCGGAATTGCGTTTTCGCGTCGGCCCGTTTCAGCTGCTTGACCATTACGGCACGGCGTACATTGCAGGCGTGATGGAACGACATCCGCGTTGGATGGATGAGCGGCGAGTCCCCGCCATAACGAGCCGCGTGTTGTCGGCAATGGAGGCGGAGGGGTTTGCTGGTGGGGATGGCCGTCGCGGAGGATTTTACACCCCTCACGGGGAACTCAATGCGGAGGTTGCAACAGAGTTTGTGGGGCGAAGGAAACTGTCACGGAGCGATATTTGCCTGCGGCTTTTGTTTGCTCTCGTGAATGAAAGTTGTAGCATGCTGCTGGATGGGTGCGTGGAAACGGTGGATGACATTAATCTTCTCTCCATTGCCGCCCTGACGTTGCATCCGTCCACGGGCGGTCTTCTCTCATATTTGGACGGCGGGATGGGGGGAGTTGCACTGCTGCGTAACATGCATTACATGTCAAAGGAAATGGGCGTCGCCGCCCCGCCCTCCCCGCTACTGCAGGTAATGTCGGAGGCGGGTGATACGTTTTGCACACTCTCCCCGGAGACGTTGTACCAGGCGCGACGAAAATGTGCGGGGGCCACTTGATTGGCGGGAGTTTGTTCGCCTGCACTCATGCGTGGCTTGGCAGCAGCGGCGGTGGCGGTGGAAGAAAACATCAAGCACGCACCGGGAAAATTACACCTCAAGAAATTATGCTTGTTGTTTTGGGTGGTGTGTCGCATGTCTCTCTGCGCGATGTTTAGTATTATTCTTGTTGTTGTTTCTCTGTGCGCTGTAGGTGTGTTCTCAGCGCCTGTCTATCTCCTTCGCTTCGTCACGGCTTTTTTTTTTGCCTTTCTTTCCTTGCGTTCCCGTGTTTGGTTCACGAGTGGTGCCCGGGAGAGGAAGGAGGGGGGCGGCGGATCACCGAACGGCCGGCGTTCTCAGCGATGGTGTTGCACAAGTGGGCGGTGGTGAGCAGAAGTGCTCCGCCGCCGCCGGGGCTGCGTCCTCTCGCCCGCGTGATTCCGTCACACCCGAGGCTGCGCCCTGCCGACTACAAGATCCCGTACGTGTTGCGTGCGTTTATCAAGGACCGCCACACCAGTGACATGCAGCATTTGGAAAACAGGGGGATGTTCGCCGAGGAGCTTGCGATTGAGCGGGCGCGGTTTCCGCGTCTTCACAAGACCCTGACAATTCAGACAGACGGTTCGCTTAACGAGCGGGAGTTCGAGTTTGTCGTGCCCCCAGTCGTCACACTCTTTCGCGATAGACTTTCCGCCCATCGTCAGCGTCAGTTGGAGCTGGCGAAGATAGGGAAGCTGCGGAGGGAGCACAGCTGGGAGACGACGACGGTGGGCGAGAAATCCACCAACCCGGTGTGCAACGCCCTCGTCTTCCCCTACTGCGTGCCGAAGATGATGCTGAAAAGGCCACCACTGGCGGACCCGCTGAGTGCCAGGTCCAGTGCTCGTGGCGCGGGGTCGGGTTCGGCGGAGCATTAGTGCGGCGGAGTGGCTTTTGACGTTTGCAACGGAGGAAGGAAGGAAGGAAGGGGGAGGAGGAGGCGACGAGGATACGGCAATGAAGAAACTTCTGCGTGGTGACGTCGCATCCGAAGTGGGGGTGAGTTTCGTTTCCCCGTCATTCCTCCCCCTCTCCCCAGCACTGTGACTGTTACTATTGCTGCAACCACGAGTGCCGCTGCGACATTGTTATTATTATTACTTTTTTTTAAAAAAAAAAACTTACTCTCCTTACGAGCCTTTAAAGCAACACAGCCAGAAGGATGGCATTTGTTGAGAGTTCACAGGACGAGATCGTGTCTCGCCTCTCAGAGGAGACTCTACAGGACATTGAGGGCCTTGATCCGTCGCAGTTTGGATTTGGCAGAGAGGAGTGCTGTGGGCCCCTGCCGGAGAAGCTCCCAGGCAGCATGGCGTTCACGGAACATGTCTTCTTCGCCACAGACATGCCTGCAAGGGAGTGGGACGCGAAAACCGGCAATGTTCCGGGGTACGCTGCACTAGAAAAGGCTGTCACTTCGTCGGGGGGCAAGAAGCTCACCGTTTATTATCGTCCCGGCCCTGACGCGTGTATTTTGCGATTTAAGTATGAAGAGCTCTTGTCGTCGCTGCTCATTACACAGTATTCTTGCATCACGGAAGGGGAGCTCCCTTGGGAATCGAAGGGGGCGGTATGCTGCGATCGCTCGAATGAGTTGTTTGTGTTTGTTTGTTCCCATCGTTCTCGCGATCACCGTTGTGGGTACTGTGGCGCCGTTTTGGTGGAACTTCTGCGCCAGTCTATCAAGGCCAAGAGGGGCGAGCATGAATCGATTCACGTGTATCCGTGTTCCCACGTAGGTGGGCATGTGTACGCTGGGAATGTCTTGCTTTACAGTAAGCATGGGGGCGTGTGCTTCGGCTGCTTTACTCCAGCCCAGGTGGAAGCCTTTGTGAATTTTCTTCTGGGAGGCGCGACGGAAATCCCCGCCTCACTGGAGCGGCGGATTCGGGGCCGCATCGGCTACACGAAGGCCAACTCCAAGTGCTGCGTCGTGTAGCAGCTATTGCCGCTTGTCCATGGTGCAGCGCGGAAGGCAAGCAAAAAGAAAAAGAAAGAGGGCCTTACTCAAACGAGAAACAGCGCTTGAAGGGCAAGAGCTGCACCTCCAATGAAACGGAAGACAGTGGTCCAACGCCTAACTCCCACCGCGCCCCTCTGGCATGCGCGTGCGCTCTCTTTCATTCTATCGAAAAGAAAGACGAAAACATCACTAAAAGGAAAAAAGGAAAAAAAACCAACCAAGTGAAAAACGGGTGTGCTAGTCTAACTCGCGGGGCGCTGAAGGGTTGAGGAAAAGGTGTGGGAACGCGGCCTTGCTAGTAATGTGCATATGTGTGCGCTGCCGCGCCGCAGCGTCCAGGTGGGACTCGTTTCTTCTTCCCACATGAACTCCTCAAGGAAAAAAAAATAAAAAAAAGAGGAAGAGGGGATGAGAAAAGCTACTTGACTGAGTTGACTCATTATATTGCCTTTGCCATTATGCGAACCAGTAGCACTCGTTCCCAGAATTGTGAGGGGTGCATTTTTTTTGTTGTTGTTTTATTCTTGTTGCTGATTCCCACCGCGACTCTGCTACTTCTCTGCAACTACGTAGGGTGCGTCACACGAGGTTTGAGACATGTCAGCGGACTTATTTCATCGCAAGCTCAACAAGTATGAATGGAGCGAGTCCGCCCCTGCGAAGTCGGTTCTCCCGCATGCTGGTGAACTTATTAGGGAGGTGCTCGGAGGCGCGCTAGCCTGCGTTGAGAAAAGAGTCTATCTCTGTGGCGGCTATGACCCACGAACTGGCCGTGGCCTTTCACAGCTGGCTGAGTTTGACTTCTCCACAAAGCTATGGTCAAAGGGGCCTTCGTTACCGGAAAGGATACGGGACGCCGCCGCTGTCGCCTTTGGCGACTATTGCCTTGTCTTTGGTGGTTGGAATGATGAGGCATATAGCAAAAAACTTTGGCTGCTCGCCCCAAGAAGCCCGGATACCACTAACACAAGTGGCAAGGAGACGATGAGTTCCTCGTGGACGCTGATACCACCCGCTGGACCAGCGCCATCGGCGCGGGTCTGCCATGGGATGGTACTGGGAACCGCTGGCGATGAGGAAGGCGCAGCACCGAGCCCGGTGGTTTATCTCTTTGGCGGTTTTAATGGCAAAAGTAGGTTAAATGATGTTTGGCGTCTGAGATTGGGTACCTTGGTTGATCAAGGTGTGGCAGAGTGGGAGTTGGTTGAGGTTAAGGAGGGAACTCCGCCGTCGCCGCGCGATGATGCGGCGGTTGCGTTCGACCTGGTGGGTGAGCGGCTGCTGGTCTTCGGAGGGTTTGCCTCCTCGCTGCAGAGTGATCTTCACGTCTTGTCGCTGCGCGGGGGAGAGAACCGGTGGATGTGCCAGCCGTGCATCAGCGTTCCGTCCCGGCGCCAAGGCTGCGCGGCGGCGGTCTCAAGCGGGTGCCTGGTAGTGTGTCTTGGAGAGGATGAGAAGGGTCCTTTGCCTCAAATTCTTCAGCTTTCCCTGACGGACTTCAAGTGGTCCGTGCTTTCTTTTGACAAGGATGAATTTGTGGGACGCAGCGGCTGCGTTGGGTGCGTGAGTGAAAAAGGGAAACGTATTGTACTCTTTGGTGGGGGAATTCTGCCGAAGGTTCACTCAAGTCTTTTGGAGTTGGAGCTGGAGAAGGCAGATTCAGGCGGTGCAAGGAAAAAGTGAGAGCACGCACGTCGCGCCCACTCTCGGTGTGCGTGTGCGCGCACGTCCACTCACTCGCTTTCCCTTCTTCCCCACACGTTTTTTATTAGCCGCGGACTCTGAATGTAGACTATATGCACTGATCTCTCATGTTTCGGTTGTTGGGTGTACCTGTTCTGTCTGTCCCGTTTGAGGGGGGTGACGCACGGAGGTGCCAAGCAGCACCGGTGGCATGGGCGGTGCCGTCTGTTTGTGCCTCTGTTTTTTTTTTTGCTCAGCTACACACAATTTGTCTCATTCTTTCTTTTTCTTTTGCACCCCCCTTCTCCTTTTTTTTTGTGCTTGTGTGCCGTGTATGTGTGGTTGTCTGGGACGGGCGGGGCAGCGTACTAGCGTCGGGTTCCCCACACGCACACACACAAGCGAGCGAAGAAACCAGCTGCCGCGGCGGCAAATACTCAATCGGGGCGAGGCTTACTTCAATGGCGGATGGTTCTGAAAGCCGCAAAAGGCGGGCGTTGGAGCTAAATGAGAGAGACGAGGAGCTGGACGACACGCCAAAGTACGCCGATGCCGAGACAATGGCGCAGCGGCGTATCGCGCGGGTGAAACGTGCGCCGACGATTGACGCCCCGCCGTCGCTGAAGGGGGCGTTCAAGGCGGTGGCCGGCATCTCGCCGGCGGGGGCGCCAGCGCTTTCCAAAATGTTTGGTCCAAGCGACAGCAGCAACAACGCCACCACTGCCACCACCGCCACCGGCGGCAGCAGCGACACCAGCCCCGGCGCCAGCAACAAAAACGATAACAGTAACAACAACAACAACAACAAGACCACTGACGGTGCTGTTGCCGCTGGGACTGAGACTGGTGCGGGGAGGTCCCTATTTGGCGGGGCCTTCAACTTCGGCGGCGCCACAAACGCTTTTGCGGCAGCCAAAGAACAGCTGGCGAAGGCTGCTGTCGACGCAGAGAGGGAAGCACCACCACACGAGAAGCTTGCCAAGGGCGACGTACTTGCGCATGCGGCTCCTGTCACGCCTTCGGCCGAAGACGTGTTAGCATGTGTGTCGTGTAAGCTGTTTGTGTTTAAGTCGGACACGAAAAGTTGGGTGGAGTGTGGCGCCGGTGACGCAAAGGTGAAGCGGCACGACGCCCCAAAGGCCGGGGAGGGGGAGGAAGTAGGAAAGTGTCGTTACCGCTTGATTGTGCGCGATGGTTACGCCCTCAACTTGCTACTGTGCAGTAATTTTCATCTGACAAAGGCCGAGGACACTCACGTCATCTTCACCGTGCCAAAAAATGACGGGGTCGCAACGTATCTTGTGAAGTACACGGGGCAGCAGGCGGCGGCGCGCGGCGCGGAGTTCACAAAGACGTTAAAAGACTCTCTTAAGTTGTCCCAAGATAATTCTTCGTAGGAGGCAGGCAACACATTTGTTCAGTACGGCTAGTGTTGCTGTTTTCATATTGTTTTTTTTTTGTTTGTTTGTTGGCTGGTGTTGACTCCTTCGTCTTCATGCCCGGTTTGCTTTTGCGCGAGTTGAACTCTGGGGGCGCGTGCGTAAGGGTCGTGACCCCCTGAAGTTTTTACATTTTTTTTTTTTTTTGCGGAGTGCGAATATTTTTTGCTTGTTGTTGTTCCTTTGCGGAGTCTCCGGCGCCGGCACAGCTGGCGCTTTCCGCAGCTGCTCACACCGAGTGGGAATAGCACGTACTTTACGTTTCTGAGGGGGCGTGTGCCGGTCGAGAAGAGGAGAAACGCAACTGGAGCAACAGCCAAGGTAAATATAGACGAAGATAACTAGTCATATATTAAAAAGGTAGTAATGAGGGTTGCTTCCAACGCCATCAAAGAACTGATCCACAATGACCCCAGCGTGAAGCGTATCTTGTTCCCTTCGTCGCAGGAGCTGGTGGGGCTCGATGAGACTCTGGAGCGGGTCCGCGCCAAGTACGAGTGCAATGTAGCAGACTCGGAGGCTGCGCTTGAGTACGCGTGTCTTCTGGTCATGCACTCCCGTGCCTCGTACATTGAGGAGGGCGTGCGTCTCATGGAGTCCTTGCTGTACGTCTCCTGGAAGGAGCGCCTGGAAAACTTGAAGGGGGCTGCGGTGGACGAGACGAGTTTGCTGACGGCTGGGCAGGTGTCCGCCCCAACCGGGGTGGCGCGCGGTAGGGTGCTGCACGGGGCCTCTGCCCCACCCGAAGGCAGCGGCTGCGACGGCGAGGAGGAGGAGGAGGAGGAGCTCAAAGCTGGCGTGGGGGAACAGGAAAAAGAGAGAGAGGCGGAAAAGCAAAAGGCGGACCCCACGGGTGATCTCCTTATTCAGTACTACTACCTAACTATTGGATGGATTAAGCTTCGCAACTACGACAAGGCTTTGACATGTGTCAATCGAATGCTTAAAATTCAGCCGGATCACCGCCAGGCGCTTGCGCTGAAGCAGTACATCGATACAGAAGTGACTATGACTTTAACTGCCACTGGTTTGGCGGGAGTCGGTGTCGTTGCTGCTGTGGCAGCGCTCATTGGCGTATTTTTGCGAAAATCATGATATCTTGCCTCCTCCGTGACAAATGATGTGTACTTTCTGCGTGAGGCCGGTCGTATTTTTACGTTGTGCTGTTACTCTTTCCTCTTTTTATGAATTTCCTTCCTGCACTCTGTCTGCTGCTTTCATACTTAAACATATGTTGCGCTCTGTGTGCATCTTTCTGCTCCTTCAGCTGCCCTATTGCAGATGTATTATTGTTATTATTATTTTTACGCAGGGAGCTGCGATTGTGTTTCCTTGTTTGTTTTTCTGCCAGTTTGCGCATGGCCGTCTTCTTTCTCCCCTTCTTTTCTTTCGCGAATTGAGGCGTGACCGCAGCGTGTCTCTCCGCCTCTCCGCTGCTGTTGTCTGTGGGCGGGAGCGGGAGTGGGAGTTGACGCACTGGGGAGGCCTTGTCTTCTTTCTTGCCCCGCGCCCTCTCCTGCGATCTACACGCGCCCGTATCCGTTGCGTATCGTGCGCCGCGACAGCCGTCACGCATGCTCCGTCGGCTCTGCGCATTTCGGGGCGGCAACGCCCTACTTGTGCTCTGCGTCGCTCGGTGCTTGAGCACACGGCGGCTTCCCGCGTCGGCGGCAAAGGCGACGACGCCGCAGCGCGGCGCACCGAAGATGCATCCTCCACCTGCTGTTGGGGCCTCCCCCGCCTCACGGAGACAAGTCCGCGCCTCGCGGTTGCTGGCAGGGGAGAAGCAGCAGCGGCTGGCGCCGGCGCCGCCGAAGAAAGCGGTCGCTTCCGGCGAGACGAGGGCGCAGACGGCCGCAAGGAATAGCCATAAGGCGCTGAAGGGAACACCCAGGGGGCGGCCTCAGAGGCGGCAAGCGGCGTCCCGCAGCTTGTGTGCGGCGCCTGCCTCTCTGCGATCCAAAACGACGGGCCCCCGTTTACGAACGGACGTGCGAAAGGGGCACCCGCATGCCCATGCCGTTCAGAAGAAGAAGTACAACAAGCGAGTGGCGGCCATCGCTAAGCTTTGGCGGATGCAGAAGAAAAAGACACCGAAGGCCGCCCCTGCGGTGTCTTCCAAGAGATAGAAACTTGCACACGTGCGTGCGTACATGGGTCAAAGGCGCCTGAAGTTGTGATTGCCACCGGCACAGCTTCTTCACCCTGGAGAACACAAGCAGACTGGGGAGGAGGGAACGGGTAAAACGAAGCAAAAACAAAATAAAAAAAATCATGAAACGATTACTGCAGCAAATAACAATCATATCGTTATTTCTTTTTATCTTATTGTTTTGGCGACGCGTGGAATGAGAAGAAACGAGTGGCGCGTTCTGCCTCCCTTCTTTTCCTCTGCCCATTTCATTTACTACTCCTTCCCACGGCGGTTATCGCGTGTGCAAGCCTGCGTGCGTGTGTGTTTCTCTGCTACGAACCGAATTGAACCGCCGCTGAATTGTTGCTCTCTCTTTTTTTTTTTTGTTTCCCGGGCGCTGGTGCTGGTGGGGGTTTTCTGCCTTGTTGTTGTTCTTTTCCTTTTGTTTCGTCGGCCGCGGGATCTCACGCTCTTCTTTCTTCTTGCTGTTCTAAAAAAAAAAAAAAGAGGGCTCTGTCACTTCCTTTGCGCCTTTGAAAGGAAGGAAGGAGGTGCTCGCACCACCGTGCGTCCAGACACACACACATACACACATACGCAGGCGCAAGAAGTCAGGGTTCGCACTATTTTCCGGCGGTCAATGAATGACGTGTGTGCGAGGCGCTGACCACTATGACTGGTGTGCCGGGTTCAGCGCGGTGCTGGAGGGTGGCACCGAAAAACAACTCGGATATTTGTGGCAGCGTCTGTTGTGTAGCATCTGTAGTAAGGAGGCTCTTGCCGAGGCTGCAGGTGGACCCAGAGTGGACTGGAACCCCTACAGACCTGCGCGCGGGGAGCACGTCCTCCAGGGTGTTTTGAATAGTGAGGTGTATGAGTGGCGTTCGTCAGTGCAGCTAAACTCGTTGTGTGTCGTGGGAAGGGCGCTATTGGTAGGCGCTTCTCCAAGAAGCCCTCTGAATCCGGCGCGGCATATAAAACCTTTTCATATAGTGGCAAACAACAGTGGGACTGTGATCAATGGATTGTCGAGTGAGGGGACGGGCGCCCAATGCTCGGGGCGCACTGGACCCTCCTGCGACAACGACAGTGTAACGATGGATGCGCCGTGCACTGAAAACAACAAGGAAAATGTGCCGTGCTCGACGGCAACGCAGGATGCGGTGGATGACATCTTTGAGGTGCTTTGGGGCACAGTAGCTGTGCCGTGGATTATGAGGCGATACGCGTCTGAGCACCGAACGCGGCGCGGCACACAGGAGACTGATGCACAGGACAGTTCAAAGACAATAGTGAGTTCCTACGGGACGGATCACGGGAAGCGCTTCTCTGCGAAGCCAACCCGAAGCAACGACCTCGTACCCAACCGCCGGAGACCAAAAACTGGGCCTGCCACGCATCGTGGCGGAGCAGAGGGCCGGATTTTAATGGCGCTGCCTCTTGAGAAAAAGACTTCGTCGCGTCTTTTACACGTCGTGGGCGCACCAAATGAGGAATTTGTCGACATGGTGAAGGCAAAAAAAAATCCTGTTGTGGCAGTGAAGCAAGCGGTGCACTTTCCTCCTGACCTGGGCCACTCGCCAACGCAGAAGCGAGTGAGCTCCTTCAGGTCCACAGCACTGGCCTCCTTTAAGGAAGCTGAGGCGGAGAGACGGCGTTCGCTGTTGCTTGGGAAGCCCACCACCCGAAGGCCATCGCTGCAGTGCAAGAGAAAACCCTCCTCGGGTGTTCTGCAGCCACGCGAGAGCCCCTCTTCCGGTCTTAGATTTGGTTTGAGAGGCCAACAAAATGGGTTTGGTGGCAACATTTTGGACAGAAAACTCGGAATTGTTCGTGCTTCGCCCGGTAGCCGCGGTCGCAAGTTGGCTCCTTTGCCTAGAAAAGCAAATTTCCCATCACCAACGAATGCTCGGCGAAAAAAAGAAGAGGTTTAACTCGCAGCTTTTGACGCTTTACATGTTCCGCTATCGGCGTCATCATCTCTCTCTTCCAAATTTTTGTAGAAGGGGAGCGGCCTCGCCATTCTCATTTATATTCCTTTCGCACTCCCCTGGGGTGCCCGCTGAAGGCCAGACATCCCTCCCGTTATCTTTCCTTCCGTACATCTATCTTTTCTATCTACATGGATGTGTTGTATTTGTTCTTGCTCAGCTATCGAGGTACCTTTTTTTTTTGTCTCTCTGCGTGTGCGTGCGTGTGTGTGTGTTCTGCTAGGCATCTTTAAAAAGAATTGTGGGGGGAGGGTAGGTCGACGACGACAACTTGTGTCGTTGGTATTCGTTGCGGATTCATTGCCGCCATGAGCACCCTTTCGACGTGCCCCTACTGCGGTGTTCAACTGGGGATTTCCTCCATGCGGGCGCACGTTGCCTTGTGTAATAGCTGCGGCCCCAGCGGAGACAACAGTGACGGCAGGGCGGAATCCAACGGGGCCCCGGCGCGCACTCGCACCTCGGACTCGTTTGTTCCTTCTACGCTTGAGGGGTCCTCCTGCGCCGAGGCGCTGATTCCCTCGCGCGCCCCGAGCGACGGGAACGCCCCGCAGGTCTTTCATTTGGACTTGCGAACCAGGCCAGGCGAAAGGGCAACCGCGAATGATGCGAAGCCGACGATGGCCTTGTCGCAGTTAGGTCCCAAGCGGCGCTCTGGCCAGCGCCGCGGTTCCTGCTCACTCCCGCCTTCTTCTTGTCAGCGAAACGACGAACAACTGTCGACGGCGGGTGAATCTGTGGGAACCGGGGCATGCTCGTCGCCCTTTGGCACGTCGAACACGGAGCCGAGGAAGCGCGCAGATAGTGCGTGGAATGAGGAATGCCTCAACGCAAAGGAGAGCGGGGGAGGCTTGGCGTCTTTGAATGACCCGCAGCTGTTGGAACGCGTCTCCCGATTGGAGTCGATGAACAGAGAACTTTACGAGGCGTTGGCTGTTGAAAGAGACACGCATGAAAGATCAAGGGCGGCGCTGGAAGGTGCTCTTACTTTTCTTCGGGCTGAGTTGTCAACTCTCCATGCGTTGGTGGTTGGCGCCGCAAATAGTGCAGAGACGGCTCACTATAACCTGGAGGATATTGAAACCCGACTAGAGAAACTTCCGACGGAGGAGGCGTTTCAGCGGTTAGAAGCAAAGGTGGAGGATTTGTTTGTGTGGTCGCGCGCAGTGCGGCAGGGTACGCGTTTGCCGCAATTGGCGTTTACGGGTGGCAAAAATGAGAAAAACACCCTGGTGAACCTCTCTGCGATGAACACTCCAGCCGACCCACGTGAAATCGGTTGTAGTGCGGGCCGGGGCAAGGGCACCAGGAGCGAAGGACGAGATGCTCCGGCAGGGACGCCGTTTCTGAGCAAGGACACAGGGGAGACGATTGCGCACCTTCTCCAACAGCAGCCTGCGGCCTTGATCCATACAAGGGGTCCTGTGCCAGCGCCGGAGGTCTCAGCGGCCCTTCTTGGGAGCGGCTGAGTGGTGCATTCTTCTTCGGACGCTTCTCTTGCTTCTAGAGTTTCTGCAGCCGACGTTTTTTTTTTCTCTTCCTTTTTCGTTCTTCTTTTCTTCTTGATCTTTCAGCGATCGGGGTGGAGAACATGGAGAAAGTGAGGTGTTGGGGGGGGGGGAGATAGTCGAGAATGAACCAATACTTGGTTGTGTGTTCATGCACATTCACGAGTGTAGTTGTATTTTTCGTTGTTGCTGTTTTTTTTTCCTTCCCCTTCTTTGATTCTTCTGCATCCGTCAACCGCTCTTGCAGTCTCGACACACACGCATATACTACACATATACACATATTCTACGGGCAGCGCCACCGGGTTTAGTTTACCTCCATTGACCGGCTGGGGGCGGGTGGTGAGGGAGCGGGATGCTGCCGCGTCGGCTCTGCAATCGCTGCGGTGAAGGAAAGCCCGCCGTGAAGCGGCCTCGCAACGGACAACTTTTGTGCCGAACGTGTTTCTTCCACTTGTTTGAGGAGGAAGTGCATGAAACGATAGTGGCGGAGAAGCTTTTCGCGTCAGGCGACATTGTGGCGTGTGGCGCAAGCGGGGGCAAGGACAGTACGGTTCTGATGCATCTCATGAAGCTACTGAATGAGCGTCATGGGTACGGGCTGCGGCTCCTCCTGCTGAGCATTGACGAGGGGATCACCGGGTACCGTGACGATAGCCTAAAGACGGTGCACCGCAACGCAGCGGAGTACAAACTCCCGCTGCGTGTGCTCTCGTACAAGGAACTGTACGGCTGGACAATGGATGAGGTTGTGAAGCTGTCAGGCTTACGCAATAGTTGTACATTTTGTGGTGTGTTTCGTCGACAAGCGCTTGATCGTGGTGCGGCGTTGCTTGGGGCGACAAAGATTGTGACAGGACACAATGCCGATGACTTGGCAGAGACAATTCTAATGAACATCTTGCGCGCGGATCTTCCACGTCTCTCTCGCTGCACAAGCGCCATCACGGCTGGAGAGGGTCTCATTCCTCGTGTAAAGCCCTTGAAGTACGCCTATGAAAAGGAGATTGTTCTCTACGCACATCTCAAGAATTTGGATTATTTTACCACGGAGTGCACCTATAGCAGAGAGGCCTTCCGTAGTGAGGCGCGTATGCTTCTGAAGGAGATGGAGATACTTCAGCCACGTTGTATTATAGACACCGTCCGCGCTGGGGAGCGGCTGCGTGTAAAGGATCGGGAGTCTCTGCCTGAGCATCCACAGGGCTACTGTGGCCGCTGCGGCTACGTCACAAGTCAGAAACTTTGCCGTGCCTGTGTGCTGCTGCAAGCGCTAAGTAGCGGTGATCCCATGGCGGCTGTGCGGGGGCAGCAGGAGAAACCCCAAGAGAAGATGACCGCTTAAGCAGTGTCGGTTAATGAATGCAAAACAAAAAAAAAAGAAACAGCCCTAGTTAACTCTCCGTACATTTATAGATTTTCCGGGTCTTTAATGGCGAGCCTTCAACAACGGCCGTGTAATTTTTGCTCCTGCGTTTTTGTTTTTGTTTTTCGCTCTCATTTCCTTTGTTTCCTCCGATGTTCGTTTGTTTCCTGCTCTTGCTTCTCATAGGTAGAGTTCTGCAGGGAAGGTATTCCCCTGCTCCCCCTCTCTTCACTGGCGCGACAGTGCAAGGGAAGACTTGCTGGGGGGTAGTGGTGGCGGCGGCGAAAATGCCATACGTTTCGAACGGCCGAGTCGTTGACTCCAAGCCATTTAGTCTTGTCGATTTTTTCCTCTCCATTGTGCGTCTCGTGTGGCTGTTCTTCGCCACTCTTTTTTCCTCCGAGCCCGTCTCGCAACACATGCAGGAGTACACATCGACGACGCGGCCCGGTCTTTTCGGCGGTGGTCGCAGCGTTGGCCGCGCCCCGCGTGGGTCCAACATTCACGGACTTCCAAAGGGCTCGCTCTCCGGCGGATGCGCCTCTGGCTGACGTTAGGCGGCGTGCGAGTTGCATAACCAACGCATCTACGCCCCCACGGCGGCACAGTCGTTTAGCCGAGTTGTGGACGATTAAAAAAAGCGGAGGGGGCTGTGAAAGAAAACAAAGCGTCTTACTTTGTCTGTTACTTCCCCCAGACGGATATATATATCCATCTCTGCAGGTCTCCGTGGGTGTGTGTGTGTGTGTTGGTTGCTTCTCCGCACGTTGCTTCGAAATGTATTCTTCGCCATCTGTTCTGTTTCTATGACTCTGCAGGCGGGAAAGCTCATTGTAGTCCCCTGTGGATGAATTTTTTTTCTTCTGCGGGACAGATGTGAAGTGGAGCGGCGACGAGGTCGCGGCGAGGTCGGGTGGCGCGTTGTTTCTTTTCACCGCCTCAAACCGTAGCCAAAGCCAAGTCCGCCCCCAAAAAAAGAAGTTTACATGAAGTGGAGGGTAGACGAAGTTTTTTCTTTTTTTTAGTTGTGATGTTTGTGGTACGGAATTCGCATGGGAGCTTGGATTGTGTCCCGCTTACGCGTATATTTGTGTATTGCTGTTTTCTAATTATTATTATTATTATTATTTTTTTTTTCTGTGTGTGTGTGTTTTGTGTTGACGTGCCCCCGCTGCGGCAGACTTAGTCCCGCCGGGGAAGAGGCGCCTGCTCGCCGTGCGCCGCGCGCCCCACCCACCCCTCCTCCCCGCTCTGAGAGCTTTACCTCGGCGCCTGGCAGGTGCAGGCGGCTTTTAGCAGAAGTGAGGCGCGTGCGCGGCGGGGGTTCAGATGAGCAACAACGACGTTTCGCGGCCCTCTACGCAGCGCTTGCCGCCCGACCTCTCGGAGAGCCAAAAGGCCGAGATTGCCGAGGCGTTTCACATCCTGGACGTGGACGGGACAGAGACGATCACGCCCAACGACCTCAAGGTGGTCCTTCGCGCCCTCGGGTACGAGCCGCAGAAGGACGTCATCAAGAAGCTCGTGGCGGAGATGGACAAGAGCGGTGTCTCGAGCAACCTCATCCTGCCGGAGTTCGAGGCCATTATGAAGGAGAAGTTCTTCGCCGAGGACAGCGAGGAGGTGCAGCTCTCCTTTCGGCACTTCACGAGGGGCAACTCCGACTACATCACCCTCGACGACCTCAAGCGCGTGGCGGAGGAGGTTGGAGAGGACGTGCCGGAGGATGTCCTGAGGGCGATGATTGAGGAGGCCGACGTCGTCGACCACGACAACCGCGTGTCAAAGGAGGAGTTCCTCCGCATGCTGCTGCCACCCAAAGAACGATGAGGGGGGCGCCCGCGTTGGGTGGTGCCGCCGCAGCGATATGTACACGAGCGTCGGCGCGGGGGCGCCTGCACGCTCCGAAGTTGCTCGGCCGGCAACCTTCGGCCGAAGGAAAAAGAAAACGAAAAAGAAATAGAAAAAAGTTGCAGGGATAGTAGCCGTCTAAAACCAGCCGGGGAGTGGGTAAGTGAAAAAGAAGAAGAAAAAGAAGAGATTTATGTCTGACCTCGACGAGTTTATCACACCTGCCACAAGAGTTTGTTTGTTGTTCGCTTTTCTCCCTTTGCTTTCCTTATTTTATTTTACTGTGGGGGTGTGCGCGCTTTTGGGTTTGGGCTGAACCCAAAACTTCATCGCAACAACAACCAACAAACCGAAGGGCATAAAAGAAAAAGGGAACGAGAGTGACTAGCGCGCAAATGGCGGATGATGCCATTAAAGAGCAGTTAGAGAACGCCCACAAAGCGTTCGAGGCACGGAATTATCAGGCGTGCGAGTCAATTCTCCAGAAGCTGCCACAAGAAGATTTACAGGCAAAACATAATTTGGCCATTGTGCGACTGCTGCAGAACCACGCCGATGTGGAGCAGACCATCGCGGCGCTGGCCGATAACTCGACAGAGGGCCTCCCTGCGCTGAATGAGAAGGAGGGGGATTCAAAGCATCCTGTTGCCCTGCTGTATGAAGGGCATGAGACGGCGCACTTTAATCGTGCGCTGCTTCTGGCACGGTCCGGACTCTTAAACGAGGCGGCAGTTATTTTGCGTGGCTTGCTTGGGATGCACAACAGTATTAAGCCCGCGGTCCTGGGGCGTGTATTGTGCCTCTTACAGACAATTACACGTATTCCGACCAAGGCACATCACCGTCAGCGTTCCGATGAGGACTTGATTCAGAAAGTGGTCACGGAAGCCATGGGCAAGTTTACAAAAGATCCGGCCCTTCTCAGTATGATAAGAGGGACCTTTGCCGACTCCAGCGCCATTCATGAAATGCCCCACAACTCCGACGCAGACCGGGCTGTTTACTTTAACAATGTCGGAGTTCTGATAATGGGTGATGCCAAAATGAACGTGGCGTCCCTTTGCTTTGCAAAGGCAGAAAAAGCCGTTGCGCAATGCAACACCCCGTTGATGCGGCACCCCATTGTTTACAACGCAGGTCTTTGTGCGTTATTACGTGGTGAGCATGACAGTGCCATTACTTGTTTTCTTTCCGTGCAGGAGTTTATGAAGAAGTCTCCGCTGTTTTGGGTGCGGTTTGCAGAGGCTGCTGTTGCTAAGCTGCAGAAAGAGGCGCATAAAACGGCTCTGGAGGAGTATGAACGCATGCAGGACCACTTTTCAGAGCAGCTACGTAACGGCAAACTGTTTCCCAACTACGAATATCTCATTTTGCCCGGGGCCACTATCACTCAAGGCCCTCTCGCCGACCCTAAGGATAGCTCTGTCAGTACCGCATTAGAGACACTGGTGTGCAGTACGGTTCAGAATGCACTGATGCTCCTGTTGCCGCAGGGCCACACTGCTGCTAGTGCCATGGAAGCCTTTCCCCATAATTTCCAGCTTATTCACTTCGCCTTGTTCTATTGGTGTGCCCTTGAGATATGCCGAAAGAACTACACCGTTGTGGTCAACGTGGGGTACGACCTTCTTAGCTTGCACGAGCGTCGCCCACTCTCGCCAAACCTACACGCTGCCCTACTGTCGTATATGGTGGAGGCGTTAATCCACCTCAATGAACCCGAACGCGCCCTGAAGGTGCTTCGTCGTTCGTCCCTCTCCAGCCTCGTTCTCGGTTCCTCGTCGGAGCCCCTTGACAGCCACCAGCAAGGTCGTGTGGAGGCGCTTTTCGTCAACCTGGCCATCACACATATCGCAAATGGTCTGTGGAATCAGGCCACCTCCGTTGTAGAGTCGCTCTTGGCGAAGGTTTACGAGGGCCGCGCGGCCAAGGAGAAGGAGGGAGGAGGAACGACTAGCAACACCGGCAACCAGAGTGTGGTGCTTGCGTATCACATGCTAGTCATTTTCCTAGAGTTAGCGCAGGGCAATCAGGAAAAGGCCAAGGAGGCGCTGCTGCGCGTCTCATGGGTCGCCTGAGCGGTGGAGAGAGGGGGGGGGGAGAGGAGGATTAATGCCGAAGGAGAGGCGAGGGCAAAATGTGTGTGTGTGTGTGTCGTGGGGGGAGGGGGTGCCCTACGGGTTGGCGTGCAACGCACTGGCAGGTGCTGAGTGCGATCCGTGAGGAAGTGCAGCCGGAGTAGAGCGACGAAACCGAGGAAAAGAAAGAGAGAGAAAAAAAGGGGAAGTGAGAGAGAGAAAGCAACGTACGTTGACCACTACTGCGAGTACGCAACGAAGAAAACACTGGGAAGTGGGGAGCGGGGGGAAGGGGGGGGGAAAAAAGAGATGCCCGGAGGAAACAAACGGATGATGAAGGGGGGAAGGCACGAGAACACACGCGCACACGGGGCTGCGGTTGCTGGAGTCGGTAAACATCAACAGCAAAGGGCGGAACTTCCAGTTCGCAGAAGTGTGCGGGTGAGTATGCGTGTGCATGTGCCTTTCTGATGCCGTGGGTGTACTGCCGCTGCCCCCGCTCGCGCCCAGATAATACTCAAGAACCAAACCCAAAACAAACCAAGAACAGGAAGAAACGGAATGTGGTGAAAGAAACCGCGAACACAAAGAGGGAAAAAAGAAGAAGAAGAAGTTGGGAGGTGACTTTCTCAGCCGCCGTAAAACGAAAAAAAAATACACTATTTATTTATTTATTCCGCCCCAACACAGGAAAACGCATGAAAGTGGCTCAAAAACACAACTTCAAAAGGGTGAGGGAAAAACTTGGCCAGATAAGTGCTGCCTCCTTTCGTCTTTTTTCTTTCTTTCTTTTTCTCCTTCTCTCTTTGGTACACACATGCATAATTGCATTCTCGCATCCGTGTGCGTGCGCCACTGCGAATGCATGCTGGTGTTTCCTGAAGAGCGGTGCCTGGTACAATAAAAGCAGGAGTAGGGGGGTCTCTCTCTCCCTCTTGGTGGTCTTAGGGTCTGTCACATAGTAGATGCTCTTTCGCCGTTTCTTGGGGCGCAGGGCACTCGTCACTCTCGTCGGGGTTCCTGTTGTCTCGCTTGGTGGACTTGGCATTTATGTAGAGTATCGTAAAAGTACACAGCCGTCGATTTCCATATCCTATCCGGTCTTTGACGAGTATGGCTCGATGCGCCTTGATGGAAAACTTCTCATGAAGCCTGGGTCGCTGTCAGTTGCAGGCCGTATCGTGGAATTGTTTCTGCTCTTTTTCCCGCTTGCAGTTCTCTACGTCGTGATGCGAATTCGAAGGGGGTGGTACCTTCGGTGGCTGGAATTGCTCCTGCGGGCGGTGGAGCGCGCTGGTCCAGCCTTTGTGAAGGCCGGGCAATGGAGCTGCACCCGGAATGACATATTTTCACCCGAGTTTCGTTCTGTGTTTCGACGACTGTACAGCGAGGTGGACACTCACCCGTACACCACCACACTGCAGGTGCTTCGTGAGGAATTCCAAAAAGACCCCTCTGAACTATTTTCTGAGATCGAACCGACGCCAGTGGGCTCGGGTTCGATAGGGCAGGTACACATGGCCAGATTGCGTCAGACGGGCGAGAAGGTTGTCGTCAAGGTGATGCACCCCAAAATTGTGGAGACGATTCTGAAAGACTTCCGCATTATTATGGAAACGGCACGTCTGTTAGACAAGTACTTCCCGTCCCTTGAAATGTATGAACTACCGTCGCTGGCGCGCGCGTGGAGAGACCACCTCGCCGCTCAGTTGGATTTCCGTGTGGAAGCGAAACACCTATCCATCTTCCGCGAAAACTTTAGGCATGAGTCCTTTGTGGACTTCCCAAAACCGCTCTTTTCCACGCAGCGGGTGCTGGTAGAGTCCTTCTGCAAAGGTGAACCAGCTTCTCCTGAGTTTCTTAGCGCACAGGAAGAGTATGTGCGGGATATCCTGGCTCGCAAAGGCTTGAACACGTGGTGTAAGATGCTGCTGCACGACAACTTTGTGCACGGCGACATGCACCCTGGCAATATTCTCATCGACACCTCCGATCCCCATGATCCGCGAATTTCGCTCATCGACGTAGGGCTCTGCCAACGTATTAGTCCAGCCGAGGCTGACCTCGCACATGACTTGATGGAGTCCTTTGTTCGCTGGAAGTCCGACTTGTGCTGCTCCTCCTTGCTGCGCATGGGCACCACGCAGAAGTTTGTGGAGAGGAAGAAGTTTGAGCAAGAGGTGGATTGGCTCTTTGAACACTGGCGTCCCAAGAAATCCTCGGATTTTGCGGTAACCAACATTTTGCAGTCCTTATTTGAGTGCATTCGCGAGAACCACGTCCAAATGGATCCACCATTTGTGGCACTTCTTTTCTCTGTTCTCGTGCTGGAGTCGTTTATTATGAATCTGAACCCGGAGTTCAACATGGTGCGACACGCCGCGCCGTGGTTGCTGGGCGAGGGTCATATTTCATACGGCCTGGCGAAAAATATTTTGTTGACGCGACTCGATGTCTTGAAGCAAGACCTCGGCGTTTTGCGCGGCCGTCTGCGGGACGGCGTGCACGGAAGAATGTTGCAGAACAACGGCGGGCGCCTTGGCAGGAGCGAGTGGTAGCGGCTTTACGGGTGGGATGTGTGACACTTTTCCGTCGGACGCACCGCCGTGGGGCGGCGGCGCGGAAAAGGCGGATCTAATAACAAATAAGAAGGGACTAAACAAAGGGGGGGGGGACAAGCGCACAAAGGAACTAAATTAAAAACGAATCAAGAAGAGACGCTGTGTCGGTGGTCACACGAGGGTGCAGAACGCACAAACTAGACCACAGCGACGGAAGGGACATCCTGGCTTCCTCCGGGGAGGAAGAAACAAAAATCAAAAACAAACAAACAAACAAACAAACAAGCAAACAAAACGGAACAATAAGGTGAAAGGAAATTGAACGACTGTACAACGGCAGAAAACAGTTTTTTTTGTTTTGATTTTGAATATTTTTCCTTCTGCTGATGAGTATGGTGGTTTTTTTTCCCTTTTTGCCTCCCTCCTCCTTCCTCTCGTAAATGCGCTTGTCCCCGCACGCTGAGTTTGATTGAACTCAATCAAAGCAATGCACGTTAGCTAAACCGACTTAAAATGAGGGTTTTCTGGTCTGCCTTGATCTTTTCTTGGTATTCCATCCCATCGCTTTTTATTGTATATTATTATTAATTATATACATATATATATATTCTGCTCTTCGTTCTCATTCTTGCTGTGGGTTACATTTTTTTTTGTGCTGAATGGGGCCGAAATGCGGCGGCGATGTGTTGTAGTTCTCTCAGGCCGCTTCCGCGCCGATGGATGACCGAAATGGCTACCGCGCACCCGTGGACCCGTTGCATCTCCCGCTCAAGGGTGAGTTGAACGGCGTCGCGTGTGCGTTGGACGACACCGTTTTGGACTTGGGCGACAGGGGGTGGGCGGAAGAGGATGGCCGGGAAAATGGGGCTTATGCGGGCTCGTCGCAGTCATCAACAGATGCGCCCTTGCAGGAGCGGCAGCGTCGCAACAGACTGCTGCTGGAGGACATTCTCAGCGACTCCTCGCTTGCGACACGGTCACGCGAGCCGAGCGTGTCCAGGTGCTGCGCTCCCTCCTCAGAGATGTCACGGGAGCCTAGGGGTGGCCGAAACTGCGGCAGCTACGTCGTTGAGCCCAGAATGATCAAGTTAACTGCCGTGGATGCGCTACTGATGCGTGCTGCGCAAGAGGCCTCAGAGAAGGTGTCTAACGGGACCAAGAAACAGGCCTTGCCTCGGGGTTTGCCACAACAGCTAAGTGTTCCGTTTTCCCGCCGGTGTGCTTTTTGCCAAAAGTTCGATTCATTATGTAGCAACTGTCATCGCAAGTGGAAGGAGGTCCTCCTAAAGCGGCGACAGGCTGTGGCGCTTCAAAGTTATTGTAAACTTCCAGAGGACAGGCGGTCTGCGTTGCTTTTTATGACGGCCGCCTACGGTGTAGGGGAGTTCGCTGCGATGCAACTGGACTTTGATGCTGAGAAGTGCCTACACTGGCGTTCTTTCTTTTTCCCTTTATCGAGTAGCACGGCGGAACAATATTACAAGTTTGTCATGACAGGTGAGGTGTATGCTTTGCATGTGGCTTTTTCCTACGACCGTGTTGATGTAGCTGAGGTCTTGCTTGGGCATCCCCGATGCCTGTTACTGAAGTCTGAATACCGCATTGACCCTGTTGAGCTCCTTCACCAGCCTCTTAAACCTGAGTGGGAAACGCTGCTGCATGCTTCGGATGTGTACCTGAATCACCTCCTCGTTGAACGGGCCAAGCAACTGCGTCGTGCAGAAGACTGGGATGGGGCGGAGGCTTTGTACACAGAACTGTTACAACGAAAGCCAGACAGTGAACACGCGCATAGTGGATGGGCAAAGATGCGCTATGATCAAGGATATGTGACAGACTGCATTCATTTGTGTGATTGCATGATTTCAGGTACTACTATAGTGGATTGGAATGAGATCCATTTGGAGAGTATTAAAGTATTGCGTGAGGCAGCTGTACAGCGATATCACGAGTACTGCCATGTGGTTGAGAGTGAGGGGGTTCTCAAGGCGTGTGGCTGCGTCATCCTTGATAGGGTACGTGTTCCCATAAAAAAATTACCCTTTTCTATCCTAGTCGATAGCATATTTGTATTCTGTGATGCTGTGACGCTGTGGAATATTTCAAAGTGCACGCGGATGCCACTGGTGCGCACTGTGGCAGAAAAGCTTGCCATTCTTCTGCCCACATGGTGTCTCCAGACACTTTTGATGAGTGAGCCCGGCTTTCAAGAACTGTCTGAGCAACTCCTCGGCAGTTTGCCTTCTGTTGTGGGCTCATTGGTCATCGCACCTGTGCGACCCTTAGGGATCTCTGTTTTGGCTATGGCGGGCTTCAACATGTTTCTTGTCCGTGTGCATGCCGCGGGGTTGTCGGCAAAAACGGTTAAAACGGGCCCCTCTGGACTATCGCTTTTTGGCTTCAGACGCAAACACCCAATGGAGGGGCGTCAGGCGTCTAACGGGGCCGCGGAAGTTGCAATCAGTAAACAGTATCGTATTCAGCGCTCGAGAGTAGAGGAACCATGGTGCGTGAAAGGGACCGGGGACTGGGCGGTCGACCAACGTTCAGTGGAGGTGCTGCAGACACAGTTGCTGCAGATGCAGACTTCTTTTCCTTGAAATTGCGCGGTGGAGAATTTCTATTGATGGATATTCTCTGCCCTGGTTCTTCACTCCCTGCATATATATATATATATATATATATATTTTTTCTCTTGTTTTGCCTTGTTTTCCTCTCTCTCATCTTTGACCGTGGGGCCCGCCCGTCAAAGCTGGGTGGTGGTGACATGTTGCCTCATCGGCACTCCGATTGCTGGACAGGCACAAAAACCTCTTTGGCCAAGTCGGAGTGACGACTTTCGTGCAAATGGCACTGTTCCTCTTTGTTTGCTTTACAAATAGCTTTTTTTTTTTCTCTGTCTTGTTTGATTCCACTTTCTCTTTGACTGTCCGTCGCATGTTCTTTGCTTCTTCATTTATTTATTTTTTATTTTCCATGCATCCGCTTCGCAAGCGACGCACGCCGCTGCTGGTGTGTAGGGGGCGCCGCGGACAATGACTGAGCGCTTTTCCAAACCTAATGCCTCCCCGTCTCCGCGGCTGGCGTCCTCCTCGGCGAATGGGCGGGGAGCTTCGCTTGCGGGCAATGGCGTGACAGACCGCTACGGCTTTTTTGTTGACGCCGAGAGAAAGGCGGAGGAGGATGAGTACATTTGGCGACACCCAGAGATGCCAGCGAAGCAGCGGATGTGGGCGGGCATGCTGGGGCAGTGGGGCTCCGTCTCACAGCAACGAAGGAAAATGCTCTGTCGCGAAGGCATTCCACAGTCCATGCGTCGGATAGTGTGGCCGGTACTTCTGGAAAGCGGCGATCGCCTTGGTTTTGAAGCGGACGCTTACCAGGCGTTAAAATCGCGTCCAGCGGCGAATCCGGAGTTGTTTGCCGTTATTGAGCGCGACCTGGGACGCACCTTCCCAACGCATAGGTGGTTTGTGCGGGAGGACGGTGTGGGGCGGAGCAAGCTGCGAGGTATTCTTCGTGCCTATGCCAACCTGGACCCGGAAGTGGGTTATGTGCAGGGAATGGCCTTTTTGGCGTCCACCCTCCTGCTGCATATTGAGGATGAGGAGAAAACCTTTTGTGCATTTGTTTCTCTGATGCATCGCCCAAAGTATTCCATGTCGAAAATGTTTTCCGCTGGGTTCCCTGCTCTTCACATGCGTTTTTACCAATTAGAAAAACTGATGCGGCGCAGGTGCACGTCGTTGCTTCGTCTATTGAAGAAGTTCCACGTAACTCCAGAGCTCTACGCGACACAGTGGTTCCTAACCCTCTTCTCGTACCAACTGGACTTTGGCCTACTCTCACGTATATGGGACATGTTTCTCTGCGAAGGATGGAAGATCATTTTTCGTGTGTCAATCACTTTTTTTTGCTCCACAAGAAAACTTTGCGGCATGCGAAGGATGAAGGCGATCTTCTTTTAGCTTTGCGACGCATACATGAAGTGAAGTACACAGCTGCCTTTCTTCGTAGTGCGCTCCATGTGAAGTTTAAGACGGCGGATTTAGTTCGTTGGGAGGCGAAGTACTGGGCTCGCAGGTGAGAAAGTTGCCCTATATGTTTTTTATGGTTTGATTGCGGTTGCTAGATCCTGCCTAGCTGCTTCGACTGTATTGAGGTGTCGAGGGAGTGAGTGGGGAAGGAACTGAAGGAAGAGGCGAGCTGCTGCAGGAATTGCAAGCATGCGTCTGCTGCGGTGTGGGACGTGGGATTTGTATTTGTTGTGTTATTTTTCTTTCCCCCCCCCCTCTCTCCCCCGCCGTAAAGACTCCCACTCTCTCTTGCTTGGCAAAGCGAGCCCAGCTGTCGTCTGAACGCCTTTATATGACAATAAGTTACCGCTTGCGCGTTTTCAATAAATCTCACCTGCATGGGAATGATGGGAGCCATGCGGCAAGCCGTTTAGCTTCTCTTGTGTCTATTTTCGCCGTGTAGGAAGCGGCGACTAGGCCCCATCGCAAGGACGTGTTCCGCGGTGAAATTTGGGCTTGGTCGCCTGCTAGCATGGGAGTAGAGCGGCGTTGCTGTACCTTTTCCGCCTTCTCCCTGTAGCGCTGTGTGCGTGTGTGCGTGCGTGTGCGAGAGGGAGAGAGAGAGAGAGAGAGAGTTGCGAGATGCACATCCATCAGACCATTCCCGTTACAATTGTGGACCCCGTGATCTCCGCCCCGTCGCCTGTCGTTAAACATGTCGAGGACCGCACGTTGTGCGCGTACCGCAACATGGGGTTTGCACTCACGCACTTTCACCCCGCTTTGTTGGGCGCGGACTGCCATCCAATTGTTGTTGAAAACATGAATCAGCTGCGCCTGTATCACCGGCGAGACTATACCTATCATTTATTGCTGCGTCGAACGTACAACGTGAAGACGTTTCAGACTGCACTCGGCATCATGGCCGATCCAATTGAGCCGTTCACAAGTCCCGATCAACTAGTGGACAGTCGACAGTTTGCCTACCGCCATACCGGGGCGGATCAGGACATTATCAAGAGCTTCTGTCGTCAATTAGACTCCCCCTTTGCGCCCGCGGCGCATCTTCGTTTTGATGCATTGGCAGTGGGTCCCTATGCATCGGCTTTTATTACCTCCTGTGACACCTTGACGGAGGAGTTTCTCTTGAACTTTCTCCGTACGGCGCACTATACACATTTCCTCTACCAGCGCACTACGAACCCGCGTTACCTGGAGGCTTGGGGAAGATTTTATGGGTCGCCCAAAGCCCACCCGGCAAGGCCTGTGTTCCTGTATGTGGGTGTTGGACCGCAGGAGTTCCCAGAGGACCCGATGGGGGAGAGCACGCAGCGTTCACTGCAGTCTCTCGTGGCGCATGCGACGACGCGTATAGAGGCGCCGCCCGCTGATCCTTCCCCGGCGTTGATGCCTGCCTCTGCGAGGCAAATTGCAAAAAAGTATGGTGTTCGTCTGCTTCAGCGATGGCAAATGCGCTACTTTATGGTGCGGCATTGAGAAGAGTGACGACGACGAGGAGGAGGAGGAGGAGGAGGAGGAGGGGAGGCCGCGAGGGGGTGAGCTGGTGCGTGTGTGTCTGTGTATGCGTGTGACTGCTGTAATGCGAGTTTTTTCTTTGTTTGATTTCTTTTCCACTTTGTTCAACATCCTGCACCTCACTGTTACTTGCCCTTTTCAGCCTTCCTCGTGTGCGACGGCGATGGTGGGGCGATGCGGTTGCCGGGACAGGGGGAACAAAAGAGCGAATAAGAAAAGAAAATCAAAAACAACAAATAAATCAACACATGCGCGTTGGCTGCCGCACTAGTTTAGCATAAGTGGCATAAAACCGCGCTAATTACCCTGCTGTGGTGGTATGCGTGCTTCGTTTTCCTGTTGTTGTTGTTGTTGTTGTTGTTGTTTATTTCTTTTCCATTTTTGTTTTTCTTTTCTTGAAGCCGTGCTTGGCGGAGGGGGATGTAAGAAGCCACCAAAGTTGGCGGCGGGGTGTGGGTGAGGGGAAACTTGTTCCCTCGTCGCAATCCAGTTTCTCTGCGACCCTAACCTCCGCCTTTCTTTCGTCCCTTTGCGTCTTGTCTAATATAAAGGGCTCGTCTTGTGTGGCTCAAGCGGGGGGTAGCTGTAGTCGCATCTCACGCTTGCTGTTGGCTTGCGGCTTAATGCATGAGGAGAGCAGCGTCTTTGGGCCCGAGGCGCGAGCGGGGGGCGACGACGTGGATCTGGGGGCAACCCACCACTCGGCGTACATTGAGGGCATTCAGACAAGCTTGGGGGAGGCAAAGCAGGAGTTGCCATCGCAGCGATCCGGCGCTGTGCCGCAGCCCGCGCGCTTGTCCACCAGTAATGCAGGCGTTCTTAGTGGAGTTGAAGCTGCTGGAGGCGATGTGCCGTCGTCCGTGGGGCGTCAGGACACCGACGCGGAGGACGATGAAGAGAAGGAGTTTGTGGACGAGTTTGGCTTCATAATTGACAAGGAGCAAAAAAACAGGGAGCTTCTTTATGTCAAGAGTATCAACGGGAAGAAGGTGGTTCGTCGTGAGGTCAAGTGGGCAAACATGGCCTCTAACTGGGACAAGGTAAACTCCAAGCGACACGCCCTGTTGAAGGAGCGTTGCCGCAAAGGAATTCCAGCACGCTTCCGTGGCGTGGCCTGGCAGTTGCTTCTTGGGTCGCACAAGCAGATGTCGGATCCCGCGAATCGAGGCACATATGCGTCCCTGTGCAACAAGGAGCTTGAGGACGAGGAATTGACGCAGGTCATTGGGCGAGATCTGGCACGAACTTTCCCAACACATATTCTTTTCAGAGAGGAGGGAGGCGTTGGACAGACTTTTTTGCGTAATGTGCTCCATGCCTACGCCTGCGTGGATCCAGAGGTGGGATATGTACAAGGTATGGGTTTTGTTGTCGCTGCGCTCTCCACCCAGTTGGGGGAGGAGGAGACATTCTGGGCGCTACACGCGCTGATGCACGACAATCGATATAAACTTCGTGAGATGTACCGGCCTGGGTTTCCCATGCTGCAGCAGTTTTTTTATCAGCTGAAACGACTCATGGCTCGCCTGCTGCCCAAGTTGTACCGTCACTTTGAAGCCGTCGGGGTGGAGCCGTCTTTCTACGCTTCACAGTGGTTTATGACGTTGTTTGTGTACCACTTTCAGTTTCGGGCCCTGCTGCGGGTCTGGGACATCTTCATGAGCGAAGGATGGAAGATCATTTTTCGTGTGGCAATCGCGTTGATGAAGTGGGAAGTAGAACGACTTGTGAAAATGCCGTTTGACGAGGCTATCCCCGCGTTGAAAAAATTGCACGAAGGGAAAGACCCAGACGAGATATTGCGCCGTGCACACGATGTTAAGTTCAAAACCGCAGAATTACAGGCGTACGGTGACGCATATTGGCGCACACAGAATGTGAAGTAATGGTAGCACCCCCTAATAGGTGTCCTTATATGTTGTTGTCGTTGTTGTTTGTGTGTTTTGTTTCCCTGCAGTGGCTGCCTTTTGCTCACCGCCTTGCGTTTGGTTCGCTTTTGCTCGTTCGCTCTTTTTCTGCGGTTGCCGTTTGCCCGGGGGTTTCAAAGGAGTCGTTGCCGGGGCGTCTCGGATTTGAAGACGCCGCAGCTGCGCTTTTCACGTTCACGCTTCTGCCTTTCACTTGATCCTTTCTTTTTCCCTGCCTTTCTTTCCTTTCCCGCCCTGCTTTTATTGTTGCTCTTCCTTCCTGGAGGGGCTGGAGACGCTGAGATTCAAAAGGGAGTTTATTGCTGCGATGGCGCCCCCGGTTTCTGCCGCCCTCGCGGAGACGCTCGAAGGCGTTCAGGAGAAGTTGTGGTGTGCCCTGCCGTCCATTGTCAAGATGCGGGCCGAGATGGCGGCGGCGGCAGCCGCAGAAGCTGCGGAAGCTGCGGATGCGGCCCGTGAGGCCGTGCCAGAGGCGTCCGCGGAAAAGGACCCCTTCACTTCCGCCGTAAGAGCGGCCTCCGTCCCGCTTTCGGACATGCGGCAGCTCGTGGAGTTGCTCTTCACGGCGTGCCACCGAAACCCCGCCGCGGAGGACGTGGAGAGGGGCGTCGCGGCTATTTTGGGCGGCCTGGAGGCGGCGGAGGAGACGCGGTACACGTGGGAGGATTTCCTTCGTGTATTGGCGGAGGTGGAGTCCCGCTGGTTGGAGTGGCACGACCCGGAGAAGAAGTGGCTGGCCGTGAGCGAAAAGCACCACGTGAGTGTCCTTAAGGAGTTGGTGGACTGCGTCACGCAAGACGTGGAACCGTTTGCGCTGCTGCCGCGTCAGGAGGTTTTGACGGCGCAGTCAGTCGTGGCACACACCAAAACACTTGTCACGCCATTTGAGGCCTTTGTGGAGTTTGTGCAGCCCCGCGAGTTCCCCGAGATTTACGACACCTTGTGGAAGCTGCTTACTCAGCGTGCTGAGGCGGCAGGGGACAGTGAAACCCTGCCTGTGGAGCAATTCACGGAGTTTTTTAAATGGTTCTACATGCAGGTTTTCACCAACGCCGCCGAAGACTCTGCCGCCGTGGCGGCCCGCACAATGTGGATCGAACATTTAAACGCACAGGGCGTGATGAAGAGGCGAGATTTCGTAAAGGCATGCCACCGCATGTGTCGTATGTATACTCCTGAAACGAAGCCCACGCCTTGCCTAGAGGCCTTTTTACGCGCAAGCGTGGCGGCACAGCAGCAACCCGAAAGTGCTCTTGGGATGACGCTGTTTCGGCATCGCGAGCCGCCTGCCGCCTTGGCCCGCATGCTTCTGGACCCGAACGATTTGTACGTCGCGGAGGAGTTGGACGAGGTCAAACAGGAAATGGAATTGTATGAAACAGACGTTGCCCCGAATCGTATTGTTCTCTACGGCAGGCGGGGTGTAGGGAAAACAACGGTGGGAAAGGCGTTGGCAACGCGTTTGAATTGCATACACCTCAGTCTCGAGGAGCTCGCCCTGGAGGCGGTTGCCAAGGCGGGTGCGGGGGATGCACTTGGTGCTGAGCTCTGCAGCTGTGTGGATCGAGAAACTCCTATTCCGCTTTCACTGCTGAAGGCGCTTGTGCGTAGGAAGATCGCAACCGACGAGGTGCTGTACCGCGGATATGTATTTAGTGATTTTCCCGTAATCCACGCCGCTGCAGACGCGGATGCACTAGACTTTGTAAGTGGGTGCGGCATCCTAGACGTGCTTGTGCCAAACATTCTCCTACAGCTGAGCTGTGATGAAAGCTTTTACCCCGAACGCCTTGAGGCCACGTTGGAAGCGCGACGTGCACTGCGTGACGCTGAGCAGCAGCTTCGCAGGGCTGCGGAGGAGGAACGGGAGGAGGAGGAATCCCGTCGCAGGGCCTCGGTGGATCGAGTGGAACAGCTGCGGGCGACGATAAAGCGATACGAAGAGATGGCTGCCGCTGATGCCAGCGCGGTGGAACCGACGGAGTTGGAGGCGATGAAGTCGGCGGCGGCGGCAGCTGAAAGTGAACTGCTCGAGGCAGTTGCCGCACAGAAGGAGGAAGCAGAGAAGCCAGCCAAAGTCTCCCCCGCGAGTGTTGAACGTGCAAAACAGATAAAAAGTCTGGTGCTGCGGCGACTTCTCGAGCAGGCCCTCGGGGGAGAGGAGCCAGGCAGAGAGATAGCCGTAACGGAGCTTCCGTGTTTTCAAGAGATTGTGGAACGCCTCCAGTTCGTGGGCCGCTGCTTAACGGTGGGCTGCACCTCCTTGGTGGAGGACATCACCGCTTATGCTATGGAGACGCTAGGGCTTCAAGCGTGTGTGCTACCGCGGGATCTCACCACCGGGCATGCAACACCACCCCAGCAGCAAGAGGGCGAGGGAGATGCCAATTTCGTCCTTGAAAGGGAGAAGGAGATGGCGCGGGCGGTGGAAGAAGCCGCTATGGGCATGGGGGCTTCCTTTTCTACGCGCTGGAAGCGCTTCTGTCCGGTGACGTTTGCGGAGTGTGGGGCTTTGGTGGAGGGAGCGGCGAACTACGGCTGCGTGTTCCGGCAGCGACTGTACCACTTGGCGTCGCAGGCTAAGCTTGCCAAATTCGCCGCGAACCCCCTGCCGTACCTCCGCCCGACGCCGCTCGACAGGGAGCCTATTCTGCTTCTCTCCGTCGTGGATAGACGAGACGCGGTGCAGTGTCTTCCGCCCTCCGCTGCGACGGAGCTCATCCAGCTGCTTCACCAGCAACTGGAGCTGACGCCAATGAAGTTTAGCGAGTTTGTTGCCCTCTGGGAGATGCACCGCAGTCTGAAGGGGTTGCGTGAACAGGCACTCGCCGCACGGGCGAAGTTTGAACTCACGGAGCGAAAACTGCGTGCGGAGCGGCTGAAAAAACGCCGGGCCGCCCAACTAAAGAAGGAGAAAAGGCCCAAGCCACCTCCAAAGGGCAAAAAGGGACGCCTGAGTACAGTGAACATCGCCCCACCGGAGGAGGAGTTTAACGGTTGGGAGAAGAAGCCCGAGGGACCGGAGACGGCCGCGCTGCGTATTGAAAAAACGATTGCTGAGCAACTGACTCGCCGGAAGACATTTGTTCCGGTTTTGGTGCATGCCCTTGAAGACATGTCTGTAGACGCCGTAGATCAATTGCTCACGGAGGGCGTGATACCCGAGCAGGTTATCGTCTTGGAGTACGAGCGGTCCTCGGAAGAGGACGCGCAAGAGGCAGCCTCGCCGGTAGAGGAGGACGATGGTGCGGAGAAGGCAACGAAGAAGGAAGAGGTGAAATTGCCGCAGGAGTTTCTTCTTGAAAAGCTAGAGAAGCACACGCGAAACGGGGCTGGTGAGACGGAGGCTGCGGAAGGTTCCGCGCAAAAGTTTACCATTCATCGCCTCAGTGTGAACGACAAGGACGCACGGGTTTTGGCCGGCGAGATTCTTCAGCTCGTGTGCCCGGGCATGGCGCCAGTCGAGGGCGGCGTCGTCGATGAGGCGCTGGGGGAGATGGAAGAGGAAGAGGCCGATGCAGAGTTGGACGAGGAGGAAGAGGGTGGCGAAGGCCCTGCGGCGGAGGCGGTTGATCCCGCTGTACGACCGGGTAAGAGGTTCCTGAACCAATTTGGTTCACGCCTACAGTACTGTCCAGTGACACTGTACGAGAAGCGGTTACTGCTGTGCGGCAAAAACGAGTTGTGCTTACAGTACCAAGGCAATTTATACGTGTTCGCCTCGGAAGAGGCCAGGACGAAGTTTGAATGCAACCCGTTACGGTACCTTGAGACACCACCTCCAAACACACCGCCCCGTGTGTGGATCGTGGGATACACAAAAAGTGGGAGAAAGACGCTTGGGAGAAAGCTCCATGAGCAGTACAATGTCCCCTTTTTTACGTACGACCGTCGCTTTTTCGAGCGCTGCATTGAGGCCGCACGGAAGCCTGGTGGTGAACTCATTGATGGTATCCCCATCGCTGAGCAGGGCAGTGAGAACTTGCACCTTGTACTTGCCGAGAAGATTCTGAAGGAGTTGCGGGATTTTGCCGCCGAACAAGAGAGAGGCATGAAATTGCGTGAAGAAGCAGAGGCAGTGATGGAGCGCCGCGAACGGGAGCGAGAAAATGAAGAGGAAGAAGATGAGGAAGAAGAAAATGAGGAGGCGATTGACGAGGAGGCGGAGGCGCGGTTGCAAGAACACCTGGAATTTGAACCCGAGACGGATGAGGATCGAGAGATACGACTCAGTGAGGCCTACTTGAAGATCGCTAGTTGTGTGACGCGTATTGAGCCCTTCGAGTCGCAGGGCTACATTATGGTCTGCCCGCCGTTTTCGGAGGGCGACATTGAGGTGCTCTTCACCACCGGGGGTATTCCGGAGGCGGCGGTGAAGTTGGACCTCTCAGAGGAGCTCTTCTTTGCATATAACAAGGCGACTCGCCGGGCCCCACCCGCCGCGGCCGGCGCTTCTGTTGCCGCGACAGAGCCACAGGAGGAAGCTTTGAGAAAAATGTTAGAAAAGGAACAGCAGAAGAAGGAGCGAGAATTGCGGAAGTGGCGTCGTCGTCACATCGGCAGGGATGACCCTGACACTGAGGAGGATGAGGAGAATGAGGAGGGCGCGCCATCGGCGGAAAGGGGAAACAATGGGGCCTCCGGGGACGCTGACGAGGATGAGGACGCCATCGCGGAGTCGCTTGAATCTCTTCGAAACATAGAAAAAGATGCTCTGACGGAGTTTGAGGAGGCCATTACGGAACGCTCTGTGAAGTTGGTGGAACTTAGTGGTGATCTTTCTCCAAACGCCGTGTTTCGTGCTACCACTCGTCAGCTGTTCAGATTTCTAGAGCATCGCCGTTCTCTGTTATACGCTGCAGAAGTTATTCGCTTTGACGACGCCGTGAAAATGCTGGAGTCTGGCAGGGCACTTCTTTCATATTTTGGATACACCGACCCGGTTGCCTTGTACGACGAACGACATGGGGTGAGGCGTGTGTGTAAGTGGATGACAAACAGCACTACTTTGGCGCCAGAACAGTGCACTGAAGCGGCAGCAGTGCCCGCGGACGCAGCTAACGAGGGCAGAGAGGCAAATAGTGAAGAAGAGAGGGAAGAGGCCGGCGTCGAAGAGGGCCAGACACCGTTTGAGAGAGACCCGGCATCAGGCGAGGACATGGACGACGAGGAAATGAGTGAGCATGACGACGAGGAAATGGAGGAGATACGCGAAACTTATGAACGAAGAAAACGGCGGGATTGGCTTCGTCGATGTCAACGAGTAGCCCTTCTTTGTGGTCGGCTGTACTTTTTTGACAATGACGAGTCTCTTCTGCGATACCTGCGTGATCCATTGTTGTTTGTGCAGCAACCCCCACCACTGCCTCAACCCCTGAGTAAGCCTGTTGTTTCCGTCTACGATAACGCCCGCATATTACGTCATCAGGAGGGTGTAAAGCAGCGATGCACGGCGAATCACATCGCCTTTAACCTGAATTACCTATTTGTTTCGCTTCCAAAGCTTCTTTCCTGGGCCGCGGTGCACGCTCCTCTGCTTTCCCTTTCACGGCGTACTATTGATGCTGTTATTGCTGGCTCAGTCGATGATGGGTTTGTTGCAGAATTGCTGGTGCATCGTCTCAGCGCCGGGGACGCTAAGCGGAGAGGTGTGGTGCTGTTTAACCTGCCAAGGACACCCGAGCAGTACAAACTCCCGGGAGGGCGGGAGTTGCGGGTAGACAAGGTTTTTAAGTTTGAGAAAGCAAGATATACGGATGTGACGGCGCTGATGACCGCCACGGCCACAGTCGCTGTCTCTTCCTCAACTCCTCCAGATACCATCGCTGCCCTTGCGGAGATCACAGAGTGCGTTGACGCCTTTGTTAGGAATGAAGGCCGTGCGTTGTTGAGCTCCAGCAGAGGGTTCCCAATGAGCATGGACAACACGTATCATACGACGGCGAACATTGAGAGCCATCTCTCGTCGTATCAATGGTTCTGTCCCTACAGCTGGTTTTTGCATGAGCTTTTGGTGGACCAGCGTGAGAGCCGTCGCTACGGTGCCAAGTTTCTTGGTAAGTACTACTTCTTCTCTTCGGACGAATACTTACAACGCTTCCTGCGCAATCCCGGAGAGCTGTCTGCCCCACCGGGGCTGAGGCCTTTACCGAGTGCCCTTCCGTCGCGAATGCCGCCCAGCACGGAGTATTCTTTGGAATTACTCGGGTGTTGCCCAGTGACGTTGTGGGACACGCGGGAAAAGAAGGGACTGCGCGGAGTGTTGGAGCCTGTTGCCAAGAAAGGGGACCCAAGTTGTGTTGTGGAGTACGAGGGTCGATATTACGCACTGCTCGATGAGGCCGCGTTAAAGCGTTTCTTGATGCGTCCGTGGACGTTTCTTGCCGGGGCGTTTTTGCCACCTTCTCGCAAGGCGCCACTGCCCGAGGGACAGACCCTGCCGACAATTGAGGAGGAAACGTTTATGCGTCGTGTGCTCTATGATCCTGTCGCCTACGCCTTAATCGCAGTGGCGGAAGCGCGGCCGAAGTACCCTGGTCTGTCCTTGGAGGAATCCGCCTTGAAGTTTGTGGCGCTGCACATGAAGTGTTTTAACAGCAATAATACTCCCATCCAAGCGGAAAAGTACAAGGAGAACTACGAGGCATTTCGGAAGCGTGCGATGCTGTACAGATCCATGACGGAGGTCTCCGAGGGCGAGGTCCACGACG